CACCACCCACGAGATCATGCAAAATACGCCACTCCGCTTATACATTCTGCAATCTGGGACTAAGTCTCCAGACGGGCGTTTCTATTTGGCAGTGTCTCGACTCCGGGTCTTGCACCGCCGCCTGCCACTCTCACAGTCTGATCTACAAATTCCTCCTGGTTTCATCAACCTGTAGGCCGTACGCCACCTTTGCACCTCTCGTGGTTCCGGCAGTCTGGCCCCGGTTAGCCGGTTTATTTCATGAAACTCAGGTGATCTTCGTGCTTTCTAATTAACTTCCTTTTCCTTAAAGGCCTATCAAAGTGGTATACATAAAAAACTAGCGGGTAAACAAGTTCACTTAGTAGTAGTGTCTGGCAGATTCAACTCATTTAGAATGGCAGCTTTGACTGAAATCTGCATTCGTTCAATGAGATATGAGGTTTTTCTTGCTTTATTCTACCACACGCATTCGCCAGACTGAATATGAATTTGTGAAGCATTTCATTTCTGTTTTTTCGAAAAGCTTTTTTCAGATAATTCAAAACGTGCTCTATTTATCAGAGATCAAGCAGTCCAGGTGGCTGTTGCAGATATTTGACGTAATGAAGTCGTTTAAAATTCTGAACGGAGCAGCGTTAACGGTCCAGAACTTATTCCACAAAAATGTCGCTCCTAATTTGTTTCACAATACTCGGAATGGACACAATCACAGTAGGTCCATCCAACGTTCACCGTTAACGTTCTCATCAAAGAACTGCAGACCTACGCTGAAGCATAAATAATACTTCCATCTTTTTGTACATTGGAAGTACTGATTCCCTCAGGAATTTGTTCGTCCTCTGATTTTGTTATTTAAGCGTGTCATCCAATCCTTTTCAGCGGAAACCACGACCCCTTGGTAAAAAATAAGTATGCTCTACCGGGCATAGGTTGCGTTCGCCTTCGCACAGTCAATCTAAGCAGATTTTTCTATGTTTTCTACCTAACACAGTAAAAGCGGTCCCAACACCTCAGAACAGTATTTAGTCAGAACAGTTCCTACAGCGAGGAAAAGGCGCTTGAAATCTACATTTCGTTGCAAAAATTAATGGAACATGAACTGATTGCGGCGCGCATCTCGAAATCCACCTGTGATGTCATGCACCGTTGTTTCTGCACGACAGCCGATGGTTCCCCTCCATTACTTCATACAGCTTCAACCACTGTATTACAATAGCCATGAGCTCGTACAAACATTTGATTATCTAACGTTCTAACCTGTATCCCTTCTACATCGCTTTCGACTGCCATAATTTTAATTGCTGCACGGTAAGTATCGACGAACAGCTGTGCCGTGGGGCAAACAAAGTATCCACACACTAGCTTGGACAGCCCATCGTAAGTTAAATAACATTAGGTGGATTATATCGTGAAATATCGACCGAGATTCTCATATGTGTTTTCGGTTTAGAAAGGCCCAACTAAATGTCTATGCGGCATAATCCCAAAATATCTTAGTCCCGCCTGGATGCCGGCTTTTGAATGAATATGCTTTTGGCCGCCTGCATCAACCACACCCGGCAAAAAATTGTTCATTATTTAATGTGGATTATTGCCATTGATGTTTGATGACCCCGCGAATTCCGTTAGGCCTTTTTAGGAAACAAAAACAAAAATATTTTTTCCTGTTCTCATTTGGTAAAGGAATACGACTTCTGCGAACTTCCTATTTGATGAAAGTGCGTATCTAAGGTTTAAAAAGTTCTGGCGGGGATTTTATATGTCAGCCCATTACGATAATAAAGCGCAGGGACTTCTGCAGTAGGACAGATTTACGCGCCAATTAACGGAACCTGCGCAAGGCTCTGAGAAAACACGCAGTTCTGTCATATTTTTGTCTTACTACTCCAAAAGGGCATCCGAGCAGACCACACGTTTTGACACATATGAATTAGAAGCGTGCAACCTGGCGGAAAACCGGCAATCCAGGGTTATTGATTAAAGAAAGTCCGATTTGGTAAGGCAGTATGCAGCAGGCAATCTTTACTCTAACCTCAAACTAAACATTCTCCCTAGGCCTAATCTTTGACCCAAACCCCGCTTCAAATCAAACCTTAGCCACACATTAGGTCGTTTCTTAAGTCTGCCTAGAAAAATCTTTTCTATAACGTGTCTCCCTAAATCAAACGTGTGGACATATCATAGAAATAAAGTCTAAGGCCCACAGATTCGATCTCCGCCAACCCAACCTGCAGCTGCACTTGTTCCTAGGGTTTCAAACATCCATGCAGTGCATTTGTCGTTTAAACGAAATCATCTCTTTCTCCTAGCTGTCTAGGTGTCACGTAGGGCTGCGATAGTTTGCACTTTTTGCGAACTGCGTTGTATGTACCATAAGCAGTGATAATACATTCACTCATGTAATATTGCCTGAATGCTCATTTTACGGTCTTAAAAGACTCATAACAGAAAAATTTGTAAAAAGCCGAAAGATATTTTTTCATCCAGTATAAAATTCGCAAAAGATGTACTTCCGCACCAAATGAGTACAACAAAGACAATATATATATTTTCGAGAACAGTATATTTGAATTTCTAGAGGCATCGAAAATCAATGAAAAAATCAATATTAAATGAGCAGTTCTTTCTAACCGAGCGCGGTTCTCGCGGGTGACCGGAAGGAAACTCATTCATACTCCCACATTCTGGTGTGAATGAAATATTTTGGAATTATACCGCCGGATAATCAATATTAGCGTTCCATTTAGGCCTTTTCTCTAATCGAAAACACACCTCTGAATATAGGCTAGCATTTCATGAGATAGATCACCTAATGTAGTCAGCTTAAACGGGGCATAAACACTGCCCCCTAACGCTGAGCTAGGCAGACGACTGTCTGGCTAATGCCTCAGCTGACCGACTGGCTCGAAGGCGAAGTATTTAATTGCCGCCGAAGAGATGTCTTAGCTTTGGCGTTTGCACTCGAGGTCTTGAATTCCTCCCCATGTAGCCCTCGAATGTCTTTTCCATTTTTTCTCTCCGTGTTAAAGGGGTAGGCAAAGATTTACCCTGGGGAGGTTGTGTAAAAACTCTTTTGTATTTTTCTCGACTTTTTTACTGAAGGACATGTCTGTGCAACGTGCAGGTTTAATTTGTTTCGCGTGTCTGCGAGTTTCTGTTGTAGAAAATCAACACGCCGCCTTTTCGTTCTCAGAATTTCGCTTTCTGTATGCCTCCACTTAGGGACTGACATACTAATGCCTTTCGGTAGGTGATTTGACTTTCTGTCTCGGGCTTGCTTTCAACTGGATTCTAGAACTAGTCGATTTCTATACTTGTTTAGGAAGTTAAAAGAAATGACACTTGATGGCCAAAACGTCTGTCGTTTATCCGAACAACAGCACATACAATAAAGATTCCGTTTTTGCATTCTTCAGCTCTTCGTTTGTTTGCCCATCAGGTATGACATTTAACAGAAAGAACATAAATTTAGCTGGCGTACAGAACGTTCTGACCAGAAGACGGGATTGTTTGGCAGGGAATGGTTTTCGCATGGACTTTGTGGTACACTGCGGAATTTCGCAGTGTCGGAGCGTGTGTTGCCAAATGCTGTTGGACGCTGCACTATGAACCCTCGGTTTTGTCTACTTAAGATGAAATCTTGTTCATTTCTTCCGAATTGCCGGTTCTTTAGGACTGAAGATCAAATAACCCACTCTCTCTATAAATTCTACAATCATGTCAGGTGAGAATCATAGAGTAATCACCTATGTTTATCGATAGGACAACGGCGTCCCGAGATTCTGAAGAAAATGCGTTAGACGCTTAAGTACGTCGCCCTTTCTTTTAACCGCTGATTTGGGCCGTATATGTTAGTTTCCTTCACTTCATTTTTTTATAATTAGAGACGTTGATTCCCCGTACTTACTGTCTTAAATACAATAAATTTGGTACGGTTTTTTTAGTGGGGATTGCAGATTTCCTTCGAAAAAGGTGAACGTGAATATAAAACTCAATAAATCGTTAGTTAGACTATTGTTTAATCCGCTGTGCAGGAAGAACATTTGATAATAAAGATGCACACAGTTTGTAAGATGTGAACGAAGTCCTACCGCAGGAAGACGTATAGTTTATTTCCCTCTGAACTGACAAACCATGACATGTTTTCATGTAGACAGTGCCCATTTTATGATGCATATATTCCTCCAGGTCACTTGAAACCTATCTATTCTGATGAATGGACACAGAGTGCTATGTAAGGATGGTGAAAACCTGAAAAATATATTTTTTTCAAAAAATTTAAGTTTCGATCGGCTTACTGTAACTACTTTTAGCGGAGGGAAATTGATTATGCAGACTACTGAAATCACAGGGTCACCGGTCGTAATTATTTTTCCACTGGTCCCAAATTTAACAGGCTCTTTGTTCCAGAAAAAGTAGCGGCAACCAATTGGTTTGCTTTCACATTTCCGCATTTTGAAAATTGCTTGCATATTATTCAAAAGGCAAGTCAGGAACGATCCAGACGGCAAAAGGGTTGTAGTGACATTTCATCAGGCAATATGTGCACGCTCTCCTCAACGAAAATTCTTAAAGAATCAAATTAGCTATCATCTCTGGTCTGCAAAGCAATGTTTGCGATCCAACATGAATATCGCATTATTCGAATATGGCGTCTATAAATAGAAAGGCAGTACCTATGACAGAGATTTGGTGCCCAAACAGAAGCCAAAAATGGCATTTTATTACCGTTATGTTTGCGTTTAAGAGGAGAAGCATCATTTTCACTCAAAATTTTGCAGGCCACTTTATCCTACTAAAGTCATGAGAGAAGTTTTATTTAACGTTTAACGGCGATTATCGTAAATTTAAATATTTTAGTCGTTGGGCATTTTAAAACCAACTGAAAATTAGCCAACACTTCGTCCAATCGCAGTTCAAGAATCTCGGCCAATGAAGACCGCCTTGTCGTTACTGTCCCTGCTTTAAGCTCACAGCCTAACGGGAAACAATGTTCGCCCAATTTGAAATCCACTGTTATGGATTTTAAAGCAGACGAAAGAGAGGTGTCACCACCTTCAAGAGTCCCAATCAGCGGTTCGTTGCTAAATTGCTGCTATGATTAAACTTAAAACATTGATATTCATGTAAAAGACTTGATTAACGAGAAGGGATAGTCTTGCATCAGTGTGCATAAAGGCACGTGAGGTAATATTTTACTGATTCCAGATGAAGAAAGTGCAAATCATACTGGTGCAATTCCATATAGTCCGTAAGCCGCTGACTATAAAATTTATCCTTCGACTATGTATATTTTTCCTTTACACAGATCTGGCGTTCAGCCAGATAGAATACTATGGTAAAATACAAAAGTAAAAATTAACTCATACGGAAGCACTCCTTGTCTTTAAACAAACTTTTTGTTAATGAGCAGGCCTAAGTTTTATTGGGGAGGTTTTCATTGACTCTTCCTGTGACAACCGAGGTTGGCATCCTAGAAAGAGACCCTGTCGTCGACCAACCTGTTGGTATGCAGTTGCGCACGCTTACTGTCTTTAATTAGCATGAAGAACCTTCCCTTACGGGATAGACCACAGTCACTGAAGATGTAAATTGCTATTGACTGCGAACTACTAATTGCGTATATCGTCGTAAGTCTCCTAAGATTTCCTTCGCAGTATTTTGTCGTGATCGTGACTTTTATCCCAGTGGGCTCAGTAGAGGAAAAATACATGATTGCCCAGCTTGCATTAGTGGAAAAGCTCTTCATTGCTCATACAAAAAGTGTTTTCCATCCATAATAGCAGGAGGTAAGTGTAGTTTTTGAGACAACGGGGTGTCAGCCAGCCTCGGTCGGCCTGTATCAGAGGTATGGCATTTTTTCAAATGTATAGATAGAAAGAATATTCCGGCCTCTGGCATCGGAGGAAAACAAGACCAGTCGATGATGTCGAAAGATCTGGGGTGTTTAGTTCATTCGTCGGGTCTCTGTGATTTGGCCTTAGGCAAAATTACATTAAAATGCTTGTCTCGTCAAACGTCAACTCGGGCAGCATACAAAAGCTCGGGGTATTAAAAACCTATGTATGTACATATAGGCATTCAAATTCCGTGTTATGTGCCTAGGTACTTAATCTATTTTAATGTCTATACCATGTGTCACACCCCAAGTCATTTGGAAAACTTTTAGTGTGCTTTCAAATTAAAGACTAAGTTTGAAAACCGCTCCATGAAAAGTCAGTATGCGTTCTTATTTTTGCCACATCCCTGCATTTTGCAAACTTGTTAAACATGAATCTTTATTTTCTGCTAGGATCAAATACCGGACGATACAGTCTGTTGGTTTTCATATTCATGTCCTTAAAATGTGCCTTCCAGACAATCTTAAGACACATAACAATAATGGTTGGATTAGTTTTGCAAGGTCACTGTTCCCTGATTTTGGCAAAATATTTCTATATTATCAAGATACATAAGAGGCAATTTATACCCTGAGGTTCCTCAAACGCTACCAATCCTTGATCTCACTTATATGAATGCCAAATAGCGCGCACAGTCTCATCGGAATAATATGCCAGCCGTAGTAAAACTACCAAGAGCTTAAGATTTACAACAGCCTGTCGTCGAAAATCACATCAATTTGTTTAAGACTCGCATACACACTGGGCAAACGGGTGTCACAATAAATAAGTATGTACACGTGCTCTTGCTAAATGTCTGATACGTACATTTGACGCTCGCATGATCAACAACCGTTCCTACACGGGAGAAATATGCAGAAGCAGGCAAGCACAATGGCGCACATTCTTATCAAAATATAGTATAAAAGCAGAGTGTTTTATGGAAATGGGTCTTTTTAACCCATGACAGATATCAACTACAATGCGAAAAGAACAAGACGTATTTGAATATGCCTTGAACTGAGTGCATCCAAGCATCCATTTAGCGACGTGATACTTTTGGCGGTTCAGGCAAACATGATGAAGTATTTAGTTTTAATATATTCCAGCCAAATTTATCGATTAAAAGTCCAGCACTGCTAGCTAGAAACACAACACTTGTTATTAATTACCCACAAATCAAAATTATGGGAAATTCTTCGTGGAGAAAATCAGTAACTTCATCAAAAAATTCAAAGTAGTGCCATCATGCAGGATCTATCTTGGACAAACGTTTAATCTTCTATTTTATCTACGACAATATATAGTGTTTTCGAACAATAGCTGGTCTTACCAGCTTTTACATATGCAGAGCCCAGGAAGAAGATTTTAACATCTTTTTGCGCTATCCGTTATACATATTTTGTTCTTAGTGAAATTTTTCTTTCGGTTTCCCAAATACTTCTGATCCTTCAATAAGAGCCAACTGATGAGACGATGTCCTGCGCAGTTCGTAACTAATGTTCACTCTATTCTAGCTAAAGTTCCCTTTGGCTTTTGCATTTACAACGACGGAAACGTTAATAGGGGGTTTTTGTCATAACACTCGACTTTGGGGGGATTGCAACTAAGGGTTAGAGAAATATTCCTATCAATTTCATGTAAAGACTGATTTTCAACATCCGCTGAGTACTGAACGAAGAAAAAGGGGATGGTATAAGTCGTCACCAAGCTCATCAATTCGTTCAAGAAAGTAACTTTTAATTTCTCATAATTTCTCCTCTTAAAAGTGGACGCCCTTAAGTATTGCTTTTGATTAAATTAACAAGCGGAAAGCAATAATTTACGCCCTTAAAAGTTATGCTGAATATTCCTTCGATTCTTCTGTCCCAGTCATTTTGTTTTAATTAGTTTCAGAAACACGTATGAATGCCGTCATAGACAAAACTCACAAAATTAGTTTTATTTGCTGTAGAAGCGCAAAAAAACATATTAAAATTGTCTGATCTAAGATCCATCAATTAATGTCTGCTTTCTACTCGATATATTTCTAATAACTAAAGCTGTGCTCGTGGTTGGCGCGATGTACGCCTACTAAGGTAAACCCCGGACATTCCGCTATATAAGTTGCAGTCCAAAAGATATTTCTGTAGTTTGCCTTAATGTGAAGACTGTAGTGGTCCTTTAATTTGCATTTCTTCATCGACATCATCTTTTCTTACTTAAATCGTTGACGGAAATATTATTGTTTGAGGTACCCCCAATTGTTTCGACTTGTCTGTCAGACAATTAACCTTTCACATTTTCGAACTCTCCGATACAAAAGACACGCATTTTTAATGCCCCTCTTCAAGTACACTCCACAGAAGGTCTAATGGGTGTGCTGGGAGTCTTGAGATGGGATTTCCGTCTGGAGAGGACAACAGCCCAATACTCATGTAGACAAATTGCAATCAACTAAAAGGGCGGGCGCATGTCGATTTTACTTGTTTTGCAAAGCGCACTTGTTCCGTATCCTGACGTCTAGAGCTGTGTATAGACGACCATACAGGAAGCACCAGAGTCCAGACTGATGAGAGCGCTGGGTACTGAGATATCAGGTGCCTCGACCACAAATAAAACTCTTCTCAGCTCTTACCATCACATTTTAACTTCCGCGGAAATACGCAATCTACAAGATAGTCATTACAGTCAGACCAGTAGGTCATCAGCAACACAGAATGGACGTTCAAACCGTACCTTGGGATAAAACCATGTTTTAAAAAATGAAAAGGATAATGATATTTTGCATTACTGTTTTCATGGCTCACATTTCCGTTTACTGGCTTTATTAGAGATTATCTGATATACTGTCGGAAAACTTCTATTTACGACATAACGGGTTTTAGGACGAAGTGCAGAGGCTTTCATCTGTCATTTTTGCTTGCACACCTTTTCCCATCACTTGTCGAAAAGGTAGCGAGAAACTCTATTACTTGCATTGTCGAGACCTACTGCAATGACCATAAGTCACTGCTGCATTTTGTAGAAGGAGTTCAAGGACCTACCAAAGTTATTCTCATATATGTTAACCACACTCCTTTCTGGTCGGCCCACCTTAACTATCTGAACAGAGATGTCTGCTACTTTATTTAGGCATATTTTATCCTTAAACTTAAAACCTTCGAACGCACAAATGACGCAGAAACTCTCTATGCTTACGTGATTAATTCCCGTTAGGGTAACTGCTCGTAGTATTTGGTAGGCGACATCGGAACTATTTCTAACGGCGATCTCTTGCTGTTTGCCAGGTTCAGGCATCCTCCCATGGATGAAATGCATTTTTGAGGGTCTTTCTGGTCCTCTGGTTGTTAGTTAAGTGGAGCAGAAAAAGTCCAACTTTGCATGTATTTGTTAAAAAATTAAATTCTACCGACGCCTCTCCGCTTGTCAAAAGCAAATTCTGGGTGCGCGCAAAAACACAAATGCTTGTCAACAGAGGTTTAAATTCCCCCATTTTGGACAAGGTACATCAAAGTCCTAAACTGCCAATAGGCCGTTTCGTAAAACTCACCACGTCTATTAGCTAGTTTACAAACCCATCAATACTTAAAAGCCAGATGACCACTCGGGTGTCATAACCTGCAAATATTCAGAATTTCTGAAGTGGTTATGCATCTTTTTTCGACTCGTTAGAAATGAGAACAGGAAAACGCACATGCCAAGACGGTATTTATCTGTTTTGCCATTGTCATAGTCTTGGACGACGTTCCGGGGAGGGTGGTATGCATTTTGTTGGTATTTGTGCACGTCTTGTTTGCGCTGTTTGCCCCGGATTTGATCATAGTGTTTCTGGCAGTTCTGAAGACCTGTAAAGGGACCTATTTAGTTCAAAGGACACGTACCTGCCCCTTACTTTGTCTTGGTTGTATTTCAAAATTTTAAATATGACATGCACCCAAAGCCATACTGAGCACAGAAGACTTCAACCGTCAGCGCTTATTTATGCCAAAACGGGAGAAAACAGGTTGAGGCAAAGTTTGAGAATTGACACTGTAACATTATATATTTGACTTCGTCGTTTCTAGCTTAACTGCCAAAACTATGGTTTGCACTGCTATGCATATTTGTGTGTCAAGTTACATCTTTTATTTGTACAAAAGCTGCAAGCATTGCACTGCAATGGATAATGAAGGACTTCACAGATACAGTAAGTGCTGATTCTCATAAAATGATAACCGAAATCCTGGCATGCGCTTTAGATTAGAAACGATTAATTAAGTGGGGTTGTGACAGTAGCAATCGTGCATCATAATCCAAAGATGATTCAGTAACGCAGAATACCGGCATTTAAATATATTTCTTCTCAGCCGCGTACAAAAACCGCACTTGGTGAGCGTTGACTACTTGAGCAGTATGTACTTTCTCGTTGATTATCGACGACCTTGTAAACTTTGACACATTTTATAGGAGGCACTTGAAAAACTGGCATATTTGTACTCAGATTATAGAAAAGCACACTGTCCTTTTTTTATATGCTCAATGAAAGGCAATCTTTCAGTTCGAAAGCTTCGACAGGGCGCATTCAGAAACTAGGTCCTTTTTACGTTTGATTTGCGTATTTTAATGTGTTCAAGTTGCAATGTAAACAACGCGTTGCCAGAATACTTAACTTGAAACATTTCTTTGTTAATAAAGCGCACATATGCATTAACATTTTTCTAGATACACAATTCCTACTCATGAGCAGCGAGGGGTAATGTACGTGCCGAACCTCCCGAAACATTGGCCGGGCTCCCTATATATGTTTTCAACTGAGAGGGCTACGCAGTTGATGTTATAGTATGTATGAGCGGAGGACATAAGTCCAGGCCAATTCAAACACATTTATGTGCTGGATTTTGATACAACCAATCCTAAGACATCCCAAAATCCTACTAAGAGAAGAGATACATTACATGGTGTTCATCGTCCTCATTAAGCTCGGGGATTCTGTAAATTCATTAATACTATCGAGAGTGCATACATATAGATTTCATCTACTATAGGACTTCGGGAAAAATGGTGGCACCTTAAGTAATTATCTTCGTCAAAATTCACCTACGCCTATATAAAACTCATTTACAAGCGCTTTTGAAAATATCGCAGGATCATTTGCTTATTTTGCTCCACCCCAGTTTATGGGATGTGACCATAGAGTATGCAAAGCGGCAGAGGCATATAAGATAATGTTGCAGAAAGAAGATTTGGTTTAGATGGGCTGCGTCAACACTGCACTGAACTCTTACGAAAACGCGGGTGATACCTCAAAATGTACAAGAATCCGTTGACATCTTAAGACCAAAACGCTCCTTCGATGAAGGCGAGATGCTTTTTCTTTGCTCAGGATTACAGGACCAGGAATGAAACATCGATTCAGGAAAATATTTACTAACTAATCGAGTGCTGGTGTCCTTCTATTGAAACTTATACAGGCTGTCTGGAAATGTTTTAAATAAATTCTTGGTGTCATATGTGGACGGATCCCCGATTATGACGCAATCTAGATTAAGTTATGACATATTTTAGGCAATTATTTCTGTAAACGCATGCTGAAAAATGATGGAAGGCCGCTCACCGATCGCGCTTTGGGAGTCACTCGTTCTGTTGTAACTTGGAACTCTCTCCCGAGCCCTGCTGGCAACCGGACATCGGCGCGTAATATAGGCAGTGTAGCTTTACCAAAAAAGACAAGGAAAACTGGAGTGGTCACTTTTGGTTTACTAACCATCTCCAGTCACCCATACCCACCCCCGAGATGTGCGACCCCTTGAAGATCGATCCGCGGTTAATTGGTTAGAAGTCCAACGTCTCTAACCGCTGGGCTACGGACTCTTTATCCTGTCGGTTGCGTTTGGGTATATACAATGCTAAAATTTCTGTGAATGTCTGCCTAGTTTCGCGTTAAAAAGGATCCAGGATAGTAAATTTAGCGCATTGGTGTCTCGCATCAGTTCAACTTGATGACTTATCTCTGAAACATAATTATTTAGTGCAGAGTGCATCAGAATTCTGCAATATCTTAAATTATCGTTTGAAATAAAAATGTGTCGGAGAAAAAAATTGTCCATTCTAGCCCTCCAGAAGTAGAACCTTCGGTTATAAGTACTTTTTGACTTTCGCTTGTCGTAAGATGCTTTTCTCTTTGATCCCTTTAATTACACTATTTGAACGGCTTACCCGCTTTCCACTCGTGCGGTGATAATCCTGGATTTTTGGACGAGCTGTTGGGTATTCCGGTCTAAGCCAGGTTTTATAACTTGTAACCACTGCACGTGAAGATGCTGATTAATAATTCTCTGTCTAGGCAACTTTTTCTCAAATTCGGCTCCACTAGTGATTTGTGGCCCATCCGGATCGGGGAAAAGCAGCATAATCAGCCGACTGATTCAGAACAATCCTGGTGTTTTCGAAGTGAGCATTTCACGTAAGTGTTTCTTATTGACTTGTCCTTGCCTTGTAATCCAAAAGCAATTCCAGTTTTCACTTGAAAATAAAGCTAACCTGAGAGCGCCGGAAAGGTTTGAACTTGTTAGACAAAGTAGCCTGGACGGAATTATTTTCTAAATTAGTGAAAAACGTCCACTTAAAATAGGAAAGGGTACTGCGTAATGTGCTTCGCAAGAGAACTATGTCGCGTGTTAGTTTGTCCACCTTTTGTGATTAATTTAATATTTACAAATTTGTTTTGTATATACATCGACATTTGCATGGTTCTCGAAAACCTTCAACAACGGAAGTCGACGTTTGTCACATTGCAAAATATTTGGCCCGTTTGTCATTTTTCCTTTTATAGAGGTCCTTCAGGTAGATAAAACGTCCTGCTTAGTGGAAAAGTTGCTTAAACAAAAAAATTATGGTTGTACTTAGGAGCTCTTGTTCTGGATAATCCGATTATTATTGCAAAATCATCGTTCCACAGACCAAGTAATTTTCTGCTTTTTTGCTGGACGGAGAAGAAGTAGGAACCGTATGATAAGCCTGAAAACGGGTCAGTACGGTAGGCTGGTGATACAAAGATGGAAAATTATTCCTATTTTTAAGCTTAATAACTTTTTCGAAAGCCGTCTTTCGATTGAATCTGCGGACGGCTTGTTTAAATACTTTTTTCTATCTGTTGCTTATTGGGCGTCGCGATCAAGGCGGAGTAAGAGTAATTCGACGGCTTCTGCCAGAAAGGATTTATTGTTAATCGGTTTCACTGTCACATGCAGTTAACTTTTTTATTCGGCGTGAAATAGAAAATACCTGAAACGCCGCAGATATAAGTACCAGAGCCCTACACGTTCGGTTTGTTAAAGTGAACCAACGCTTGTATGGCAGGAAGATGGAATCAGAATGTCAGATTGCCAAAACATCAACCTCAGCGCCACATTTCTAAGCAAGTCGAGCAAGACAAAATGTAGCGCAGAGATTGCGTAAGTCACTGTCGCATTAGCGATTCTCTCAGAAACTGAAAATGTAACTCTCCATTAATGCTTTTTTCCGTGGTTTCCATAAATATAAGCAGTTTGATCGGTTTTCACAAGAAGAAGGTGTAGAACAAGTAAAATTGCACACTTAAGCATTGTAAAAGTAGTTTTTAAATTAGCGAATCGCGAGCATGTGGATGACGACACCTTTCCCCTGTAAAACTGATTGGAATGTATTGTGTGTATTAAGTAGTTCAACCATGCTCCAAATGTAACGATAAGTGAAAGGCCCAAATGTAATTTTCATCGATTTTGCTTACCACAAGGCAAAAAAGGAATGTTTATGTTTCATTTTTCGGTTACATCCCTTAATCGAGGTGATTTCTGACCTTATGCTGAATTTCAAAGTGGTGCTTATAATTTCATTTAAAATTGCTGTGAATCTCATAGTGATTTTTTTGGAAAACGACGTTTTCGGTTTGACTATCAACTGTGCAAAAATAGTTTAACTCAAGGTTGGCAATCTCAGCTAAATAAATCCTCGATTTTGGGACTTAATTTCGAAAATACGGCATATTTCGTGCATTAAGTAGTCTGAGCATACTTTTTAAGGAAAAGATCGATTTTCTGTTGACAAATTTTGTTCTAGTATTTTTGCAAGTGCTTGATTTATATTTTAACGAAACAATCCATTTTACTTGAGGTTTCAAAGCAATTACTCAATTCGCAGTCTTCTGTCGACATTTACATCGTTTGCTAGCTTTCTGTACGGTCATAGTTTAATTCCTAAAATAAGCTCTGTTTCTTTTTCACAAATTACATGTATCTTTTGGCTGGATGATAAAGTAGTAGGCTTTTTAGAATTCATAGAAGCCGGGAAAAAAATACAATGTTTCATGTATTGTCGAAAATGCGCCCTATGCAGTCGCACAATATCTGATCAAGCCCACTATGCCTGACGACCAAATTAATCAATCCTCCATTATTGCAGTGCTCACTTGTGGGCATAGCAAAAACTGCATTTGTCATTTATAGTGTACAATATCACTTGCGTCTTCTATCGTCGACATATCTAATCAAGTCTCCTCATGAACACTGTATACAATATTATCGTATTTACAGGATGATTGGCATAGATATTAACCCTACATTTTTCATTCAGGGCATTTTTTGTAGATGTGAGACCACTCCCTCATCCGCTCATCGCTAAAAAGTCTGACGTTTATACAGCAGGTAGGGGAGATGTGGAATTCAGCTGTACCGCCTGTGCCTTTGCAGGGAGAAGACTTAGTCATTCTGCAGAAAGTGCCGCTTTGAGTTGTTCCTTTGAACTTCTCAGCAAAAGATTGATATTTTCACACACTGAATTTTATATCATCAAATTAAATCCTCGGTTAGGATTGGTAATGCTTATGGTAGCTGATGGTAAACGTAAAGATGCGCGTATCTGGTACGGGCTAGTGTAAAGAGTTCTCTTCCTCACTTTGTGATCGCGAAGGGAACGGAGAATGCCCATACTCTACGAGTAGAGCCACATCGCCTTGGTAACTAACCACCGTTTGCTTAGACCGCGTTTTTGCCAGTATATTCATTATCCCCTTTTGAAATCTCTTACCCAGTCGACTAATATTTCCGCGGTGACATACACTTTTTGGCACTAGAAAGCGATAAAAACTGTGTCGAAAGTTAATCAACTAAGCGGAATACTTAATGCATCCTTGATTTCAAAATTCACTTGAGATCAACTGACCACTGTCTCTGCGAAACAGACGACGACCTGTTAATCAAAGACTTGAGCATATACACCGCCTTGTCTTTATTGAATCAGAGACGATAAAATTGAACTCTACTAAGTGAATTTATGGTAGTCTCTCCTGTAATCAAGTTTCATTTCGCGTGCCTTTGTGAGATATTCGTTTTATTGATCTACTGTGGTAATACAACCGGCGCTTTGAATGACGTACTTGAAAACCAGCGCGAAATGTTTATTTGCATCCCTCATACTTTGTGGTAGATTGGGTAAAACTGTGATTGTAAACCGTTGAAAACTTAATGGCCACGTTTCACCTTAATAACAAGCGGACTGAGATCCTACAAGACCTTTAAGGTCGGCTGTCTAGAATTCTACACATAAACGGAAGAAACAATCGACCCCAAACCAGACTGCTGGGAACGTTGCAGATTATTTTGGTTAATAGACAATGTTCATGACCGGAGAGAGAACCCGTTACGATCTTAACGAAGACATGGTAGTTGGCGGTTAAAAAGGCAGACTATAATTTTCAAAACGACCCAGTTGGATTGCAAAGCCGGCTGTTTTATCGTTCCGCTCCTTCTTTTGCTTTGTTCATCAACCCCGATTTTACTAAGCACTCCTACAGTAGATAGAGATTTTACAAAATCAGTGGCGATGTCAAAATGCGTTCTAAGGAGGCAAATAAAGGCGTTCGTCTGAATCTTCCGGGATGGTTAGGATTCTATCTTACATGGAACAATTTCATAGCAAGTGTGTCGGTTGGCTTTGACGACTTCTCTACAGTATGGCAGTAAAGTGTGGAGGCTGCTGGTGGAAATTAATTGAACTGGCGTGGCTGGAACCTTTCCTAGAGTAGGTCGCCGGGAGGGGACTTGCGTGCACAACAAATTTTACGATGCTTTCACTAGCGATAATGTCAGCGTTTGCCAGAGCGGTTTATCTCTCCCTCTCTCTCTTTCACGCAGTCCTAGGAGTAAGGTCTAGGCTGCGAGGTCTTGTTGCGAATTAACTCTCAATGATTCGGAACCTCCAAAGGATCCGAAAAGAGTTACCGAGTCGACAGATAAGACCGTTACAATGCCAGTGGCAGATAGCGATTTAAAAGCATTATTTTTAGCATGAAAGCAAAACCTTCGGAGCTGAAATCTAGGAAGCTAAGGAACAACTCTGCTATTAGTAAACCAGTGTCGATGGCTCCTCCTTAGCAATATTTGCCGAAGATATAGAGCACTAAGGTTGAAAAGACCCACAAAGGCAGTAAGAAAATATGAAAGTTTCTTTTAAACGAATAAAGTAGTAACATTTAATGGTGGAATTGCAAACTGGATGTGAGTTTGGAAATTAGTCTGTTTGTGTATTAGCGTCGGTAAATTTCGTCGAAAGCGTTCATAATAAAAAGACTGTGATTAGTGCGTTATCCAGAAGTATAGCAACAGATGCAAAAACTTTGACAAAGACGTTGATTTTCAATTTAAGATGTTCATAAAGTAGGACAGATAGACGCGTAAGCGGAATCGCGAGCAAGTGAACCGACAATCCACCCAATTGGAATCCATAACGCTTTCTGAAACGCAAGTTTAATGGGAGGCGAGGCTATCGCGATCGTAAAAATTGCTATTTATCATCCGAATTCTGTAAACGTTCTTCTATTTTGGCGAGGCAAAGGCTGGATAGCCATTCCGTATCAATTGGTCGCGGAGCTATGGGGCCTCACTCGCTTTTACTTCCGGGTTGCCGCAGTGAGTCTGGATACGCTTGAAGCGTTTTCTCACACATATTCATTTACGAACCAACAGATGGTTGTCTTGGGAACATACAAATTCGATGCCCACGTGTCCGCTCAAATTGAACCCAATCAGAAACCATACCAATGACGGGGCAAGCTTTGGCATACATTAAGGAGGTTCTAGATAAGACCGAGCGCGTTGTTACGGAATAGGGTTTTGGAATTCCACAAAGACAAAAGCCGCCATGCACAGACGGTTCAATAAAAATCAAGAACCGGTTAATTCTCACAGAGTGGTCTGATGCAGGGCGTCGTATACCGTGCCTTAACTGTTCTAGCAAATACAGAGGTCAGACAGAACGCGTATTGGGATTGCGCAGGCACAAACATTAACTGGCTGTTCGCTAGGAGGAAAACTTATTGCAAGCTGCTGCCCATAACTTCGAAATCGGTCACTAGTTTAAGCCCACAGCCACCAAGTTAAGCATCTACACCTTAATCAAGAAGTTGAGAATTGACTGAGTCCTGGATCCCGGGTGAGAATTCAGCCCACCAATGTATCAACCTTGATGCCGGCCGGCCCAGCGCAGACGTAACGTGAACAAACGCTTAACACCATCAGGCCAGAAACAATTTTCCTCTTTCGATGAAAAATTGTTTTGCTTTTTGTTTGCGCTGAAATTAAACTTCCTCGTCACTTCATGGTTCTCATCAATGGTTTTTTTGTGTTCCATATCCTCTGTAGACTGACAGAGGTGTTTTGCCTCTCGATCCTTGTGTCTGCTTTCGAGTTTCCATTTTTAATAAAGCTTTGTCTCTACTTAAGTTAATTCATTTGTTTTAAAAATCGAACAATAGCAAGTTTATTATTACCATCATTATTTGTAGACACCACTCGATCTAAACGACCAAATGAAATCCCCGGAAAAGGTAAGTGACTTCGACAGTCTATTTCGCAGAGTCTTCTGACTTTGAGTGCTTTTCTTTCGGCTACTTAGCCCTTTTGGACACCTGTTGTGTAGTGACCGCATCCACACTGGGAGTCCGGTCTCCTGATCATCACCCATTCACGTCTATGAGAACGGAAGATTGGAGTAGGCAAACTATGACTAAAATATGGCGACACTGTGATGACAGCCGTTTTGGATTTACATGTATCGGGTTGCGAGTAATGTGTATAAGCAATCTTTAGCAAATGTCATCATACGCGGCGGTAAGGGAAGCTGCCTTTACTATTTCATGCTGTTGGCAAGTTACAAATATGCTCGTTTCCTCTTGGACAAAATACACGCACTAAGGTTAAAATATGACCGGTCGATATCCGCAAAATAAGCTGGAACTGACCGTTCCATACTTTTCTCCCTGCTGCTGTTGCTTTTAAATCGTTTGCTTACCGAAGATTTAAACTGATGCATATGACCTCAAACTCAGTCGATGAATATTGCTAAGTCTCTTCTACGAAGTGATCGAACAAGTATATATGAATAGAGACCATTTTTTACCAATGCCGTCATATAACGTGAACGCAAATTTTTGCAGTTGCTTGTAACTTTTGAATATACACTTTCGAATTGCCCTGCTTGCCTACTTTTCCTGCCAGATTATTTCTTCATTACGAAAGAGGAATTCGAGAGAGCAATCAAGTGCAATGAATTTGTCGAATACGCTCTATTTTCTGGGAACTATTATGGAACGAGGTAGGCAAAATATGCCATTAGGCTTTGTAAATAACCCCAAGGTCCACTTTAGGACTGCTAACTTACCTGCTGAAATACATGCTATTATTTATTTTCGGGACTTACGAATGTCCAGTGGTCGTACAGAAGAAAACACTTTCATTTTTTCCCAGGTCGCGAGTGCAAGAAAGCATGCGTTGTCTGGTGTGATAATTCCAGCAAATTGTTTCTGTGATCCTAACTATCAGGGCGACCCCTTAAACTAGTTGGGCAGTTGACGGACGACGCCACGCTAGTTTATGTGCCCCGGTAGGGAAAGCCAGGAGCAGCATTGTCAGCACTGACAATGCTGACGCTAGACCTAATCGACCAAAAAGTGACCACTGTCTGAAGTGTGTTCCGGATTGAAAAGGGCAGATTAGGCGGCCTTTTAATAGTCATTACCATGCGGCGTAATCTCAAGATTTTCCAGGCGCACCTTCATGCTGGTTTCGAATAAGCTTTTATCTGATCGCCTGCAAATCCACACTCGATAAAGCATGAATACTCCATTAGTATAAATGTGCCCCATTTATTTTCCATAATTGTGCAAATCTTATTATGTTTTATAGAAAACGCGAAAATCATATTGTCTTCTGTGCTCACTTGGTAGCAAAATTCGGTTGTCTTGAGGGTTAAACGCCAAGAAATGTATTTATAGTTTAAAATGTTTGCAATTATGAAATTTTTAAAGACTGAGGGGTGCTTATTAACACAGCATCGTAGCCATTCACTTATTTCTTTTTTATCAGATATACAGCTACGTCCACATCCATTTTAAACTTTCAGGAGTTCACTGTGGGGGCTTTATAGTAACATGTACAAATTCATAATCTTAATTGCATAGAGCGTATACAGCATGCGGTTTTGAAACCCTGGACGAAAGAGCAACTACAGGTTAGATTTACAGTTTTCCTTGAATTTAAAAAATTAATACAAATCAAGAAGATACCTTCTCCATTAGTATGATATTAAGAAAACACGCAACTCAAAACGCTGTATATACAGCAAAGTATATTCAGACTGATTGCTTTCAAGTTAACAATTAATACCTGGGAAAATTAAAGTGCCGCAATTTTAAAATTGGAGTGTTTGGTAGAAAGTCCAGTGGGAAGGCTAAAATCCACCGATGAACCTAATCCTTCTCAGCTGTGTCATGCAGCGGCAGAATATCAGCTAAATACGTGTCTGGACCTATATTTAGGGCTTGTGCTCTCAAGCATGGTGTATCGTGAAGCTTACGTATGCACAGTAAGTTTGCTAGTTTATGAAATGTTAGCCGAAATTCTGAAATGCGTTTTTGACTCGAAAACATTGCTTAAGTAGCATTGTACTATTAATCGCCCCGCAGCATACTTCGAATTATCGTCTTTCCGACCGCCTGCAAAAACTGCATCCTGCAGAAACTAACTACTTATATAGCACGAATGTTTCTCATTTATTTTCGATGCCCCTAAAAATTCAAATATATTTCATATGGAACATGCATAAAACACTCACTCTTTTACTCTTTTGATAAAACGTTACGTCTTCTTTAAATATTATAATTGAAAAAGGACATAATTCTGCATTAAATAGTTTCCATTTATGAGACTTTTAAGGCCATGAAATGCCCGTTCATAAAACGCGGTGTCCCTGCATTTATTAATGCTGCTTTTGAATAATATAGTATAGCTAAATTCCACCACTAAATTTTACAAACCTCATATAGCCTCCTCTTAGTACCATATGGAAATGTATAATTTTCAGCACATGGGGATATACGGATTGCAGTTTGGAAACGCTGAATGGAAATGTAATGACAGGTTTGATTCAAAAGTATTTGGGGATTTGAAAAGCCTTATTAACTTGAATTATACCCTTCCTTCAAGTTAAGTTTGAACAAGACATTGTTTGCTAACAAATGCGTAAATGAATGAATATTTGTATGTATGTTTTCTAGTAAATATATCTAAACTTATATAAGTATCGAAAATCAATTAGAAAAATTTGTTTTGCGTAAGTACGCATTTCTTGCAGACTGCAGTTTTTGCCGGCGATCGAAAAGAGGTTTATTCAAAAGCCAGCATCCTGGCGTATTTGAATTATTGTACGATTATGCTTCAAGAAAGTAAATATTTCAACCCTACTTAAATAATCTTTTAGAGTCTAAAGCGCATTTCGGAGTTTCGGTTAACACATCTACTATGCTCCTGGCTGCCTGTTGGCGGTTTATGAATATTACGCAGCTATCTTGGTGCGACTGATGGACTTCGGCCCAAATGTCCAAATCAACTTACAGCCTTAGCCTTGAGAGTTTACTTCATACCAAATTTCTCCAGGTTACGGATTAATTTCTGAAAAAGTCAAAAAGCCACTGGAATGAATATTGTTGTCAGTGTTCTTACTAAATGATATTGAATTTTAGGTACCAATCATAAATCAATGAAAAAAACTCATACCAATTAAGAATTTGGCTTTTTTTGCTAAGTTCGATATTTGCAGACGGCCTAAAAGAAAGTCACTCAAAAGCCGGCACTCTGACATGACAGACTCATTTTAGGATTATGCCGCAAGATAACAAGTACTACAACTACTCCTGATTAGTCCTCTCTAGTTAAAAACACATTACAAAATTTCGGTCAGCTTTCCAGGAGATAGGCCAACTACTGTATTATGCTTGCAGGGCGGAATTTATTTTGCGTTACAGCTCAGTGTCTACAGCTCAAGCAGGCGGTTGCGTAGTGACTAACAGTCGATAATCGACTTTATCAGTTTTAATTTTCCATTTCTGGACTGCCCATTTTTCGTTGGTTTCTCCGGCCCAAACTCAAATTTCGTCAGTCACATTCCCCAGGGTTTAATTGTTAGAATTGCGCACGAGGGACCCGTCAAGCCTAAAGGTTTGTTCTGCAAATTCTAATAAGCTTGGAACGACTGGCAAATCTTGGGATTTTAGCACCACGAGAGTTTTATAATCGGATACGTATGCGATGAAGTCTAACAGTTAGATTCCACGATAAAACGACACATTCTTTGAACGATGAAGTTTAGACAATTAATAAGAAGTAGAAAGAGTTTAGGGAGCGCACTGTAGCCCACCGAGTGACATAACAGAGCGATCTTGTGAAAACAACAAAATTTGGATTTTTGCCAAACTAGACAAGTAAGAAGATCATCGTTTTTATTTTATCTTCTAAGAACTTTTTGCATCTAGTCGCGCAGAATAATCATGCCACAGATATTTTGTCTCGTTGCTGAAAATACATTTCTCCCAACCCTCAAATTCCTTATTTTGCTATTGATACTATGCAAACTACCTCATACAGTTTGCAATCTCAAAAAAGTAAGACATCTCCCGTTGCTTATGATGAAAGATAATGAATCAATGCTATTTAAAATCATGCGTCTCTGTTCGAGTCCAAACCCTCAAACTCTGCAATTTAAGCCTGCTGATCACCTATTAGGTTAACTTAGTAACACCTGCCGGTGAAAGGAACTAATCACCATTACCTTCTTTCCAGCTCTGTAGACCGCTCTATTGTAAAGTTTGTGATATTTCTGATGTGAATGCTGGAGTTCGTCATTGGCGCACTCCAGAGGATTTACAAATGGTAATTAATCAAATATTCAGGGGAGTACTGTGGCTTGTCGTTTTTAACTTGGCATCCCAATCTGTTTAATAGTAGAAGGTAATCAAAAACTTCTTTGTTTTTGTAACTTTTATGCAGCAAAGAACAAATGCAAAAAGTCATCCAACGGGGCAAAATTTGCATTTTCGAATTAGATATTCAAGGCGTGGAGCAAATAAAGAAGACAGACATACATCCCGTCTACATTTTTATTCGTCCTCGAAATTATGCTACCTTGGTAAGTCACCTCTACATGGATTCCCCCGATATTACTTGAGAAACCACACTTACGCCGTTTTCTACACCGTATATTTCACTTAATAACGAATCATTTTGGAGAAAATGCTGTTCTAACTTCAGAAGAACGATCTACTCTGAAAAAACGTGAAACGCTTAATTCCTCGATTTGAAGTGCATGCATTAACTTTCCCTACTCAAAAACTGCAAAAACGTTTTGCACAGAGGCTCCACGGTAACGCGCAAGCCCACTGATAACAACAATTTCGAAGCAAAATCACTCCTAGCTGGAGTTCTCAAGGATTTTTCGGCTTCGCATTTAATGGCAGCCTTTCATGCCCAAAAACAAGAAAAGGAAACCGTTTGACAAACATCCGGTCTTTTCGGTCCTAAGTCTCTTTAGTTTAGAGTTTCCTTCTGTCAGACGTTCCCCCAATTTCTGGCATTTGGTCCTTTCTCAGGCTTGTACTGAGGTTGGCGAGATAGCAACCTCGGTTCAACTTCCCTGTGAATGCTCCTAATTTTAATTTATGTTTAAATCCCCCTGCAAGTCACAGTTTGAAGTCAATTTAATTTTTTACCACTCAAAATTACTGTAGCCTGCCGGTGGATGAAACACTTAATGTATAGAGGAATGCTCTCCTGCGTGTTTCCTTACAGCAGTGACTTGTTTCACTTTCCTACAAAAATTCAATGACAGTGCTTAGTTAATCAAGAACACGCTCTGCCTCTTAATGATCATTTTGACCGACTAGAATGGAGAGCGTATGGTGAGAACGCGTTTTTGTTAACTGTATAAAAAAGTTCTGAAGAGGCTTAACTACGCGCTCTTGTTTCCATTTTACAGGCGGACAGACTAACGCAAAACGAAAATAATATGTATTGACCGATATTTTGTCATATCCTGGACCGACTAATTAAAATTCCCAACAATCATTTACAATACCAGACTGGTTAATATATGCTATAACAGACATGGTCAAGTTCTCACCTAGTAAATACCGTAACTTAGTTGAAAGTAAACTTTATTTACCAATGCAGAAGGCTTCATACAGCTTCTGCAAAGAAAACAAAGGTCACTATTTAGCTATTCAAAAATGTCACGTCTTAATATAATCTAGAAAAGATTCCAAACAAAAAGTTGTCAATAAATTACCCGAATTTCCCTCTAATGTGGCATTATTTACATCGGTACCAATATAAACTTATTTCTTAGATGGCATTTACAGTTAAAATCTGTAAACTCGCCATTTACGTCTTCTGTGCATGAAACAATATAAGGGCGTGCATGACATAAATCCCACTGAATTATTTCGAAAAGAAGGCAGTGCGAGCTTTAGGAGTATCTCGTATCTGAGAACGTTTAATGCCGCATCAGAAATGCATGTTAAATTTGGCGCATATTCTGGATTCGATATTTTAAAGTCAGATTTTATCAAATGATTTCAACAAGTTTCGTATCGTCTTATGTTAACAGTAGTCCTATGCAGGTGTAAACATTGTAGATTAATTAGAAGTATCTGCCGTGTTTTCAGCATAGATAATTGGGGAGAGCGGTTTCAGCTATGCTAATCATCCGAGAACAAAACTAAAAGCATAAACTATTCGTTTCCTATACTAGGGATATTTGCAATAATATTCTTTTAAAATGTATGACTATTATTGCATTCTCCCACAACTAGTCGCAATTCTCTATGCAAACGTTGACAAAAGTTGACATAAATGACCACCGGCCATCTAAATCTCGACGTAACTTTAGATCGTCTCTTTCTGAAAGCTAAGCTTATTTATTGGCGCCCTTTAGCTAAGACGTAACGCATCCAACATTCATATAACAGTGCAAGTAATGTATGGCAGCAGTTTCAAGTAGATGAAAAATGCAGGGATTTATTTATTCACCAAATTTTCCTTTATGTATTGTTTTAAAACCAGATACATTAAGTTAAATTTGATATAAACAAATGACTAGTAATATGCTGTTGTGAAAAGCCAATCATATGCTTTGTGTATGTAATAAAGCCGCCAAAAGTAATAACGCGTATATTGACTTCGATGGCAAAATTTCGATTCTGATGGAATGTCGCCTTGAATTTTATCTCTGACACTTTCATTTTGTTACATGTGAGGTAGTGATGAGATACTACCTGAGCAGAGCTTTTTTTCACATGCGTCAGATTTAACCCATTTTTATCATACTCAATAATGTGCCTCCTGCACTCTTTTTTCGTTAAAATGCCCATCCAATGGTCACAGATTGGAAAATTCGAATAGAATGCATATGTAGGCTTCTGATCTTGGAAATACATAAGCGGGGGTGATTTCCTATAAGTGGCCTCATACATGGGTAAAGTGGATTCAGAGAAAGGGACCCACCTTCTCCCTGGCGCCGACTGGAATTATGGTGTTTCATCCTCCCCCTCCCCTACCCTCCCCTCTCCAAGCCCAAGCTACAGATTAATTATCTATTTGCCCCTATCTTTTGCATTCTTTACATCAATAGCCATATTAATCTACAGGCCTGAAGAGAATTTATCGAAAGCAGACGTATGCTCGCCAAATTGCCTTTTGAATTCAGAGAAAGTGACAACTTGTTTACAAGTGCTCGTAAACGGTTTGCAAGCGCTTTCTAACCAGGCATATATAAAAGCAATTTCATAAAATTGTTTGCTTTTAGGAAAAGCGACTGCGAACAAACTCCGTGGAGTCTGAAGAGCACATTCTTCAGCGCTTGGCCGTCGCACATCAGGAAATCCAATATGGTAAATCGAGCAACAGTTTGAATTAAATCATGCTGGCATTGCGGGGCATTTATATCTCACTTCTGTATATAAAAATGAGTGGACAAAAACAGACGAGAAAGGTAATTAATCATTTAAAACTCTCTTTAGTCAAAACATCCGTCACCGCTCATGTAAAGGAAGTTGGATAGGCTACTTTTACTTTAACACAGGCGCAAATACAAAGGAAATAGCGACAACGTACACAAAAATACCGGAAGAAAGCGCATCTGCAGACTGATTTTCAATCATCTCCATTGAGCACAATTTCCAGCGAATTATTTCTAATATGCAGCACTTTAGCCTACATGACCTATTAGGCTAAAATGCAGACATGCATTTGTATAGCTTGGTCCCGCCTTTCCAAATAGCATTTTTATTCTGGCAACACGGTTAAGAAATGAGAAGATTGCATTACTGCGTTCCTAACTAATTCAGACTACAATAACCTTTGTTTCGAACTAAGCACACACTCCATGTTGCCCATAATATTGTTCTATACTTAGATTGATAAGTATATTTCGGATAGTCTGCGCTTAAATACAAACGTTTAACTAGCCCCGACCCGGATAAAATGACAGTTGATGTCCATATCATCCTGAGGTTAACTACAGGTGCGCTGAATAAGGGCCGAGGACAAGCTCTTGATTTGGGTGAACAGTTGATTAGATTGATGGCGCGTTACATTGTAGTGTATTGCAGCGTCGTTTCGATTTTGACGAGTCAGCGGTTAAGGGGTAAATAAGTAAAATGGAATTAAGTGAGATTTGGGTCTCTTAAAACACTAGCGCAAGACGAAAAGTGTGAAGAATCTTTTTATACCACTTCTGGAAGTCGAAATTTTACCTAATTTTCATTAAACCTACGTCGCCCATTAGTATTACTGTTTTCACAGCAACTGTAAGTTTGCGTTACAAAGTCAAAAGACTGTATACCTTCGTGCCGATGCACTTATTTTACATTATATGCATTCCTGAATTAACGAGACAGCTTGTGTAACCCCTAAATTGAATATGTTTATCCGTAGAATCGATGATTGTGTATAACAGTGAGTTCAGGTTTGCAGGTCGTTTTAAATGCAATTATTTTGTGCTTATTTGACGAAGATCATATGCCGATGTCAGTAGCACGACCATATAAAACGCATTTTTCAAAAATATATATTTAAGTAAATAGCATTTGCAATGAACTGCAGATTATAGTAGGTGACCAATCTCGCAAAATATTAACTGAAATACTGAAATGTGTTCTCCATTAGAATGGGTCACTTTGTTGGGTCTGTAATACCAATTATTGTCCATCATAAGCCCAGGATGTTTTGTTCACGCCAGGATACCGCTCTTTAAGGGCATCCCTTTTCGATCGCTCAGATAACCGACTCAATAAGAAATGACTACTTCAGCAGCCCGATTTTCTCCTATATATTTTCGATGTTTTTGGGAATTTAGGTCTATTTTATATAAATCACGAACAAAAACGTCATTTCTTGTGCTCCTGTCGTGGCAAATGAAAGCATCTTCAAACCTTTTAGTTTTCGAAGACGCTGTGAAATTCCACAGTATTTTGAACTCAGTCTTCTGCTCCCGTCGTTTATAGGATTTGTAGTCAACAGGTTTACAGTTTCACTGCAGGAAAGATCATAAATTCAACCAAGCTCTTAAGAAAATACCGTATCGTCCTCGGGAAATTTGTCAGTTGATGCAAAGTATGATTTGTAGTTTATAAGAGCGCTAATAAAACAAGCGGACAAACGTTATTCGAGAGGAAGTTTCATGGCCTTCAAAAGTCGCTAAGTTATCAGCATTGTAAAATCAAAACAAAGCTCTTCATCAAGTATGAAATTTAAAGAAGGCGTTATTTTTCACCAAATAAATGCAAAATAGGGCTCTTGCAACTTGTTGTCTGCAAACTGTATTTGAAATTTCAACTGCACTGAAAATCGACGGAAACTTTCCGCATTATTAAAGCGGTCATTTTTTATCGAGTGCGGTTCATATGGGCAACGGATAAGAGATGCATTCAACATCAAAATTCTGGGGTGGCCAAATTATTCTGCGATTAGGACGTACAATAGTGGATATTACAACCCCACTAAGGCAATCCCCGCTAATCGGAAACGCATTTCCTAATTTCGGTTGGCACTTTATGAGATTGACAGCTAACAGAACCTTTCTGCGGAACATGCTTACATGCTTACTTCGTTTTAAAAGAACTAATGTACGATTTCGAAATGTTAAAATGCCCGCAGCGTAAAAAGCTTAAGATCAAAGACTTAAGATGAGGTGAAACATTTTTTAAGTTTTGCAGACGTTTAATCGAAGAGTCCACTACAACCGCTTTCATTCTATTTTCAGCCTTGGAGGACGAAATCTTCACCAAAGTCGTCATAAATGACAAAATCGAAAACGCAGTGAGAGATATTGAACTGTTTCTGAAGCAGGTAGTTTGTTAGCCCCAGATCAAACATTCGTATTCTTAATGTGCCCACTTATGCGTAAGGCACAAATTTGTGGAAATCTCTCGCTGATAAAACTCACAAAAATGATGTAAACTTTGGTCGACTAACCTGCCCACCAAAGCTTACATGCCATGAGGAGGACCGAAAATGGCCATAGGTATTTCAAAGCATGTTTTAGCAATTCTAAAACAAGGACAACTTTGTCAGTTGCTAAGGCATATGAAGACTTCGCAAGCAATATTTTTGATCGTTTTTTAGGAACGGTTGTTTAATTCTGTTATTTGACGGATGTAAGCCAAAGCAACGAAAATGTATCGATTACTAAGGGGCTCCTTCTCCCGTATAAGCAGTTTTCACTCAAACATACTTTATTAGGTTGGATGCTACTTTATTCCCAATAGTGGCATGTCTTTGACTTCCTGTTTCCAAGGCTTCACAGTTATATGCAGAAAACCCAAAGCGTCTTCGGGGTTTTGTCATGATAGCCAGTATCATCTATCTTGCAGTTTCCGACGGAAAGTTTCATAGTAGCAAATAAGAAAGAAGGCTCTGAAAGATAGGTTTATTACGGTTCTGACCTTTAAACCGATACTGTCAGTCCTTTGTTCTGAGTCGCCGGTGAACAGTTGGGTAGCATGTCTCGCTTTCTGTGAGCTATGGTCGAAACTACGACGATAGTGCACAAAGTGTAATTTCGCATCTTTGGCGCAACTACAGTCGATTGTCGTTTGCAAGATCTGATGCGCTGCAGGGAGCGTCACGTAACGACAAATGGATGTTCTGGTTGCCTATCTGGCCAGCAAAGTTTTTTCCAGAGTGGCCTTTCCTCAGCCAGTGCTTTCGGTATATTTAAAGGTAGGCGTGCTTTTAGAGGTGGCAGGAAATGTGTTACTCCACTGATTTGAGGCGTTCTAGCATGCGTATTTGCAGTTGTCTACGGTAATTATAGAGTACTGAGATTCTCAAACTTCACAGTGCCTTATGGGCTGGCCTCAGACGCTGTCCCCTGGCAAATGGAACGGTTTTACAAAAGTGGGACAGTTATTTCGGCAATACGCTCGTCATTATAGAACGGAAAATGGCCCTCTTATTTCATTAAATGCCGCATGACAGCATTTATGTCTAGGCGTCCTCGTCTGCGTCAGTAGACTCTGAAAACAACGGTGTACATGAAAGCAAATCCCACACACATGTATTGGGTCACTGCGGTAATCGCTAATATCACACAAAGTGCTTTAGTGCAAATCCGATACAGGGGAGTTGGCGCACACCCAGAGTACGCGGTGAAAAAAATGGCTGCATCCCATTTATTTCGGCTTCCGTTCGCGACGGGCAGACGTGGCGCAAATTTTTAGAAGGAAACTGACTATCCCGGGAAAACGGTAGGTTGTCAGTAGAGAAACTGACGCGTGCTGCCATTTCTCACCAGGTAACCAAAACCACCGCCCGTCTATCGGAGAGGCGAGACGACAGGAATAAACGATTTGTTGATAAATTAAGAGTCCTGAGAATACCTGTCGGGGGAAAAGCTGACATTTTGTTTATCGGTTTCAGCTGAGTCAGGTACTTTGGAAAGACCGATAGATGACTGTAAATACGGGTAAAGGATGTGGCAAAACAACGGAGAGAATTAAGTCCCTGGTAATTATGGCCGAGAATTCTATTGCTACTTCGTACGCCGTCTTCGAGGATCTCGCAAGCATTTGCGGGGGAACAAGCACAAGAAGAAGGGGGATAAGCAAGCTGAAATTTCATTTGACAGGCACTCGAAAGCAACATCAGAGAGAGCGATAGAGGGAAAGAGCGGCAGATATGGGTAACGGACGTGCAAAAGTCGCAGTATTTATACGATGCAAATGCTGTGCAACAGTAGACCACGACAAAATAATCACCACTAGCAGTGTTTGCAGATGGCCTAACTTGGTGCGGTGCTTATCTGAGCGCCCTCATCTGAAATGTTAGCAACCGTCATTTCTACCGATCGTAGCGCTTGGTGCGAAAATTTGGCGGCCATTCGAATAGCAAGCATCACCACTGGAGTCAGTGTGTAGCGGCCGAGGAAGTCAAGGGTAGCACACACCAGAGAGAGGAAACGCAGATGAGAACTCCTGGCCGGGTTAGACCCTGAACGGAACTGTTAACACTTCTTGATGCTCATCCATACACCGGGGAAGAAGGCAGATCGAGTAATGGAAATAGTGTAATGCATAACGCGACAAGCAAGGAAAATGTGTATAATAACTGTTAACAATACAGGGGGATGAGTTACAGCTGAAGAATAACCTGTCTGGGTGAAGAGGCGATATCGACATGCCAGCTAAATAACCGGTGGGGAGCGCAGCGCTGTGGGCAACTGCAGGGGAGGGCCGAGGGAGTGCCGATGTTGTGATACGGAGTGCGAGGCGAGCGTTACGATACGGTACGGTAGGGGAAAAGGGATCGGCGGATGAGAGAGGAAGGGGCACCGGCCATCTTCGCTGACACGCGGTTACGCCATCTCCACCCTAGGTCCTCGCGCGGAAAAGTGTCACCTCATTCAAACAACTCTGTCCAAGTCCAGGGGCGTTACAAGTGTTCACCCACTCACACCCGCATGACTAACCACCCCACAGGCAAACGATTAGTACTGGACAGGGCGCGGGGTATACCAATGACCTTGACGCTGGACTGTGGGCTTGAGAATGATAGTCAAGTAGTTCGTGACTCACGCGTTTGTCACTTCTTGCGGGAATTTCAGCCTCTTCAAACACGACGGGGTGCGCGGGCCACGTTGGGTGGGTCAGGACTTGAGAATTGGCGTCATTTCTTCTCACTGTTGTTGTGGCTGTGACCTTCTGCGTCCAGAGTGATCGCCCAGTTTGTAAGATGTGGTTTGGTAGCCCCACCTGATGGACACAATACTGTTGGGGTCAAGGGTTAGAGTTAGGGTTAAGGGTCGTGGTTTGGGGTTTGGGTCAGGGGTAGGGTTTAGGATTAGGGGTTATAGTTAGGGGTAAAGATTGGGTTTAGGGGTTAGCGCACTATTTCTCAACCCTTCGAAGTACGACCGCGCACTCCCAATAGCTTTTCTTTTGCATACAACCACTTGGCGTCGTCGTCTGTGCGTTCCCCGGCCCCACCTGTAAAAAGCCCTATTATCACCGGTCCCGTATTGGAGGTGACTGGGTTTTGTTTACTTCAGGTGAGACCACATAACCACATCCAAACGCCCAACGTAGCTGTTTTCACTATAAGTGTACCAGATGCAAAAAACAACTCTAAACCTTTCATGTTGTGGCAGTGGATCATTCGGTTCCATGGTTGTCTCCGATCCTAGTGTAACCTCAACTCTGTAAACTCTCAAGCAGACCGATGTAAACAATATCCGAGAGCAGTTTGGGACTAAAAATTAGCCAAGAGCAATTGTCGACAAGAGTCTAGGTTTCCAAGGGAACAAAAATGAGAGACCAGATAACGCGATCCATAATAATGCATTTCAGAAGCAAAAACCATCCTTGAGTTCATGGGAAACTCCCTGGACAACATGCCTGTGTTCCTTACTAGGCCTTGCCGAATATTACCTCCAGGTGGCACATTTAACAGACATGTCCCCATCAAGGAGCATTTGTTCGTCGTCTTCCGACTACGCCTCACTTGCGAAGAAGGCACGCCCGTTGAGAAAACCAGTCAAAAACGACGAACAACCATGCGCATGTAACAAATGGCCGTATGCGGATAGGAGTTGAATTCAAAGGTTAAGGTAAATAGCAGCAAGACTGACGACAAACGCCAAGACGGCTATTAAGACTAAGCCTGATAGATAACACTTTGGTCGATCGCACCTACGGTTAAAGTGGGTTTGAACCAGCACCAACAATCAAAATCACGGGATAGAAGGAGACGTAGAACCGTCGGGTTACAATACCATAGACTATGCCTAAACCTGTCGAAAATTCCCCTAGAACTAAATCTTTACGACACAAATGGTATTCACATCGACTTATAAAGTGGCAGGCATTGTAGTCACTTTCCTGCTAACTTTAGAATTATGGTTAACCGCTGGATTTGCCCATCGGATTATGAAGAACGTGAGTTTCTGTTTTAAACCTGTGGCGAAAGCTACGTTCCACTCTGAAGCGAACCGGGCCTTCAAAAGTGCAGTGATCTTATTTGACCTTTTATCAATGAGGAATGGCTGAAGGGTTCTGGGGAATTTGACATATTGGGCAAGGCTTCGTTACAGTTTTTTTCCTAACGAAATTTGTCAACGATAAAATTTTTTATTGTCTCAGGATGAGCGCTTTGGAGCCTATTTCAGCAACCCTCGATCCAAAGGCGACTTCATTCCAGTGAAAGCCACTTGAAATGGGAATCCGTCCAGTTTCGGCAATACATTTGGCAGATTTCTCCTCCTGAGGAAAGAACGCTTCCAACTATCCAAGTGCTTTGGATAGATTGCACACCCCTTATTTCCCCTACCCTCAAATGCATAAACTATAATATTGACTAACAAGGTTGTGTCACACGCTTAAATCATTTTGCCGAATATGTTATAAAAAAAAACAAAAGAACGGAGTTACCAAATCGCGCAGACAAATATCGACGTGATCTGCCTTTAAAAGGACTCTGTCACTGATTTTTTGTACCTTCTCATGCATGCACACTATCTGGCTACCTTGTTCCAGACTTTATGAATAATGTGCCCTGCTAACAAGCACCAAGATTGGGGATGAATTAAAGAAGTTGGAGGGGGGGGGTGCAGAGTGGGCATTTTTAATTCATAATTGAAAAGCACGTTTTGCTGTTATCGCCCATTCGGCAATCGAATTTGCAGTGCAGGGGTTTTCTGATTCTTCTGGTTGAAATTGCTGCTAGAGGTTTACTTACCGATATCAAATGTCCCCCAGCAGGAGAGAAAACTTCTGGAAACTGCAGCTTTGTGATACTTCGTTAGGAGAAATGCGACAGCCAGACTCGCAGGAAATTTAAGTTTAAGAAACCGAATATCAATCGCGGAGCCGAATCGACTACGGTTTTATCTTTTGCTCTCCATCGGCATTTTATTCTCATGAGAGATTTTCGTTCTGCTGCATGAATTCACGTAGCCGAGGACATGGGTTGACAGCTGGTCCCTCGGCGAAGTCCTGGCAAATTAGGCAGACGTGAAGAACGGTCCCGCCCTTGGAGTGGGAATGCCCACTCTCACCAATTCGCCACGCGAGTTACTGATGCAATGTATACTGCGTACGAATAGTCATTCTGTAGAGTAAGGTCAATATATAGCAGTATAGTAAATTCGAATGCCTGTATTGGTTGTTTTCTTAGGGGTTAGAAGACGAAGATGCGAGCACTGGAATAAGGAATTTATTGGCTTGACCTTTCGGATTCTCACTCGAGTCCGTCATCCGAGACATTCGCAGACATTTCTAGAGTTTATTTTCAATCCACTTTGCTGTTCAGGGTTTCACATCGTTTGGTGAATTATCGTTAATACTGGATCTCTTCGTCCAGTAAACACTGTCAATGCCTCATGCATCAACTCAACCTGTAAAAGATTTGGCAGTTTTTGATCTGCATTATTTAAGTGTGTATGAGTAGTAACTGCTTATCACCTTATCGGGTGGCAACAGCCATCAAGTGAATCTGCAAATTTTGAAACACATGAACGTATTTTCAATGAAATTTTAAATGCCAATAGAACTTTCTATGGCTGAAATAGGTGAATAGTTTAATCAACAGCATTGTAGTAATTTGAACCTTAGTTAACAATAAAATTTACAGCATAACAAAGATAGACGTACTGGTTCATTTATGCATTGAGCTAGTGCATGAACATTTAACGTGCTTGAGATGCTCTTTTCATTACAGAAATGCTGCAACAAGTTTAAATGAAATTTAGAAAACCATTTCTCAAGATATCCCATATGAAAGTAAACGCCCGATAATTAATAATAAAAGAGCACTTTTACCACCCACGAAGTGGACAATTCTGAGTGGGACCTGGGGATTTTTTAATTCGTCTTGGATATCCAACCTTAAATAAGACAAAATACTATTGCAATTTTTGCGTGGAATAGGAAATTATTTACTCTACAGTCCCCAAGTACTAATAAGTATGTTTTGTGTTGTCGGAATAATTCTGTTTTTGATATTATTTGTAAAGCCTCATCAGGGAATGATAGAAAATCAGGAGCCTTCAATGCGGACTGACACTTCAGTAACACATTTTTCTATTTTTACGCTTATGCAACGCAAACCTTCTCGCCGTCTTTAGTAAGAAGCACTACGTCTATGCTAACAATATGCCTTAGGTGATGTAGCTAGATTTTTTGGGGCCGAAATAAGGCACAACGCTGCAAGAAGTTCCGAACTGCATCGGAAATACCTACGGCATCTGGTACACAAATTAAGATTTGCATTAATAACTCTGGCTGAGTGGATAGGTGCAAATTTACTAGAAATGAAGAAAACCCCCAGCATAATCAGAGGTAAATGCCACTAAAATATTTATTGCTTGGAAGCCCTGATGCAGTCAACTAAATCAATAAACCAGTTACCAATGTAATGCATGAAACTGAGACTTGCATGTAAACCGAGTAAGATAGAAGCCAAAATCTGCATCTGAGAGCTGTTAACAGAAGACTGGGAAGGTTGGACTAGACATTTCCGACTTATTTGCCGTCACAAGTAAGTCGTACCGTAATCAAATATCTGGAAGACGGGGGATTCAGACTCCGGTTCGGCTGCTTAAAAGTAGCTCTGTTGTTTCCATTTTAGAAAATGTTTTGAATAATTATACCGTTTCCTTTCAATGCTCTCCTAGTTGGTATATTTCACTGAGGATTTCTTAATACTGCCGAGACTGAATGGAACGCAGACCACAAAACAGTAACCCATTAGACGGGTTTGATTCCACTATTCAGGAACGAAGTAAGCAGCTAGTAACTAAAGAGAACTGCCGAGTAATAGGGCGCGGAAAGTTTGCATTGCCGACTTCGCCGTCGGCGCCCTTATTCAGAGTTCGAGTATTTTCATTTTTACTTTTGTTAAAAAGTGGATACTGATGACTTTTATTATGTAACACCACTGGAATCTCCGACAACTGCTGCTGAAAGAAACTATCCGCTCGCAAATTTTAAACACAGTTTCTCGACATTTTCCATGTTTGCCAAGCAGAATCAATCCAATATTTTGCGAAACGGAGCCGATGAATTTGTCATCCATTTTTACGCCGACTTTCAAACTAATAATAATAAGTTCAGGGCATTAAATGCAAACTGTGAGGCGAGCAGAAAATAGCGTGCAGACTAGTCAGGTTTTACTGTCACTCTGAGCACAAATCACTCCTCGCGCAAGCCTGCTATAGGTTAAACCCATTAGACGGGGTTGTCCCAAATACAGAAGTTCATAGACAGACCTCTAATTAATGAAATGAGCATTGCGAATGTTAATACATTCTAATCTTGTTAGGACTAGCACTTGAAACGATAAAAGGCCCTGTACGTTTACCACATCAACCAAATACATCAAAACTTATAATAAGTAGCTATGAATGCAGGGGTATGCAAATGTAAGTGTCCCAAGGTAGTACTCTCAGGAAAAAAACTCCCTGGTGCTGGTTTATTAACTGGATGTGGTGTTGGTTGTAAAGGTTTGCGCTGCAAAAGCAACTGGTGTTAGTGCCACGTGGCCTGCCAACCTGACTTACACTACCCTTGCAGGCGTTTTGTCCGTCCTCTCTGCTCCACTGGGGGAAGGAGCGAGACCATCAGCTTTGATATTCAAGTTACCACCAGTGCAAGTGTTTCGCTGTAAATGGGTTTTACCGCAGTCGACAGAGGCAGCCGTTCAAAACTTTGGCTTCACTTAGAATTCCTCATTTTGCCTTCCCTCTTAAATAACTAGTTCGCCTTGACTCCGTATGATCATAGCCTGAAGTGCGAATGGATTCTTGCGCTCCACCGCCAGTAGATGAAAGCTGCTACAAGGGTAGCGTTGCCCTAATTCTGGCCAACACAGTCGGCTTGTTTAGCGTCCTGTTGAGTCCGTAGAATAGCGACGAGGATTAAGTTTGTATTGTAGCATAAACAAAGATAAGTGCCACAAACTACACTTCGAGCGATTAAAAGAAGTATATCTCCAAGTTAGTCCTTTTGCTCCTTTGACGGTCACCAGCGCTTAACATGAAAGCAAATGTCTTAATATAGTGTCATGAGACAAAGTCCTGAAATGAATCTGGGGTTATGAAAAAGTTGCTCCGCAGGTGTCGCGTCAATACAGCAAAGATATGTTGTTTTTGAAGACAGATATGCATGAGAACTTGAGCCTGTTCCGAAGATACGAGTTTTATTCCAATATATTTCGAAGTATTCATTTTTGGTGCACAGATGATTTTTCCGAATAAGCCAGTGTGAGCGACCGTTTTCAACAAATTATCTTTAGACTCGTATCATTGCCCAGATACATATACAATGTGCTTAGGCAAAAACCGCCTCCGCTTTTGAGGGCATGGAGGAAGGAAAACTGGGTGATGCGATTGGAGAGGTGAAGAATTGTGATGGTGTCAAGACATACGGTTGTAGGGGACGTAAACATCATCGCTGGCAACCTAGGGGAGACGGGCGTGGGAGATAGAACCTTACTATTCATTTATCATGGTCTTGCGTGCATCAGGAGAAGCCAAAGATGATTTATTCAGTTCCAAAAACGCTTTGGAGCAGCAAACGGAAGGGTCTAGATTAGCGTCTTCTAACCGAAGTATTCATACCTCCTGGGAACAAGGTAGCACAATAAAAGTAGCTATGAAACTTGATCTCCGCACAACTACTTAATCACCAGAAATTGTTTGTCTACTACCCTTGAATCTTCAAGCATACGCCAGCTCCCTCCATCGTGCGTTTTCTGAGCGAGTGTCCGCTTGCCCGCTGTCGACCGTACACTTTCCCCACGGCATCCGGTCGCATTACCTACCCCAATGAACCAATTAGAATTCGTCATCGCGTTGTCTATTGATCGTCCGCTGATCAGCGCATTCGAGTGACTCTACTGGCAGTTTACCTGTTGGCTGTCATTGCTGTCATTTGTCCATGGTTGCCATTTTGCCTCGTGCTTTTCTGGGAGGTGGAAACAGTTGTCCCCGGTTCCCGCTTTGAACTCAACTGCTTTGTTTAAGTTAATCTTGTATTTCATGAATGCAAAACCTAGGCATCGTTGATAGCTTCCAATTAATCTTTTTTTGTCACTATGAATACTTTTCGAAAATATGGATTATTCGTCATTGTTCAGTTTTATTTGTAAATTCCATCCGTTAAAGGCAGAGTTAGAAGATAGATGCGCCGCTGCTCTCTTCACCCGCATGTGAATA